CTGAAGGACCTCAGTGAAGCTCGCTGCCAGCAGATGCAACAACATGCGACGAGATGCGCCAGCCTCAGGAAAGGGTTGACGCGATTTTATTTGTAAGGCAAATGAAAATCCTGCTTTTTGATCTCGGACCAAGTTCTTGGCTAAAATCAGTGGTGCACCAAGCTTCGGTCTAGCTTGGTCCCTGCTAAGGCTTGGTAAGCTGAACAGGTGCACAGGTCACTAAAGCCAACGGCCACCATCAACCATAGCAGAATCTTGGCCAATTGCCATGCGACCATGTGGTGCAAGCAGCAACAAGAGGTGTACAGGCAACGAGCGGAATGAACTCCACCGAACGCAGTCCTTGAGTAGAACATGAGCTGCCGTGGCGCGTCGTCAGCAATGCATGGTTTTTTCTACATTGGGTTCAGATTGCTATGCGTGGTGTGCTGTTTGAGGCTCTTTTTGCAGGGTACATGTGGTGCATGATCAAGGTTTTTGTTCGCATTGTTTTTATCATTTTTAAGGCTTGGACATGGTGGCAGCGGGCCTCGGCCTGCTGTCAGGGGAGGATCTGGCAGCCAGGTCCTTGGCTTGGCTCCCAAGAACATGCAACACGCTATCAAAGCCTGCTCGAGGTGCGACAGACCTTTGAGGCCATTTCGGATGTCAGCGCGGATCTTAGATAACTCAGGCCATAAGCATCATAAGCTCACAGAGCATATTTCACAGAACCTACCAGCTTTAGGATGTTACAGTAGCATGGCAGACTCAGCCATGCCTAAAGCTGCTTGTCCTGACATCTTTTCATGTCAACACGTGCCGCATGAATTGCAATGTATCACAGAGAGAACAACTCGTAGCTCTCAGATGGTCAGGGATGTGTGGAAGGGCACCGTGCATTTCTGTCTAAATGAAGCTTCCATGGCGTCCTGTTCTGTGATCCAGAGAGACCGCAGAGTTGCAAGACTGTGCATCCAGAGTACAATTAGAACGGTGCAGACCATTCAACAAAGAGCTGCACACAAATTTCAGGATGGTGCGCTACTGATTGCGTGCAAAGGCAATGTCGCACACTTTCTGGCTGCAATAGATGTGAATGCCATGACGGTCACGGATGAGGATGGCCTTTGTAAGTTTGCAAGGCATGCTCAACTGCTTTCCTGTAGCTTGCAGGAGCAAAGGGACATTGCACTTGGACTCTACTTGCAAGGCGTGCCGTGCTCAGGAAAACTTTTGATCTACTTGTCTTTGACTTATGGGGTTGCAAGGGTTTGAGGCTATCTTCAACCACGACGAGGACAATGCTATGGCAGATTCGATCGCGGCTGCTTTGCTATGTCATCCCGCCAAGGGTGCACGAATACATGTAGTGAAACGGCTGTAGTCCAGAAAGAGGAGCCCAACTGCGTCCAAGCTTTCGTCGGACGTGAGCTTGTAATTCGGACATTCCGACCCGTGAGTGAGGCGCACGCATGATACGTCTTGTGTTTTGTGATGTCCGTGCCTGCTTTGCATCGTTTGCATGATTTTTAAGGGAGAGGAGCTATGCATCACCTATGGGGAGCTTGCAGAGATGAGTCGAGATCGCAGGGACCCAAACTGCCGAGTCCTGCGCAAGCCAGCTGTTGCAGCCTGCTTCCAGGCCACGCGTTCTTGGCTTCGCATTATCATTTCCGCCCACAAATGCCACAGCAGGCCGGAACTTGGGGTCAACAACAGCACGAGTCCATCCCGAACCTTTAGGGTAGTAAACTGCGAAGAAGCCGCCGCCATCCCGTAGGTGAAGGACCGAGACGCGGTCCTCAGTGCCATTCTCGTTTCTCCTGTGCCTCAGATGCAAGGATGCCACATACGCTCTGCATCGCTCTGTCATATGAACAGAAGAGGGTGGATTGGCCAAAAAACAGGGGTCTGGAGTATAGGCCCCGCGGTAGGATTCACGTTTCCCTTCCAACCAGCAGGGCAAGGGGACTCCAGCACGGAGGGGGGAGGCTAGCTGGTAGCTTATCATCATGCTGGGCTTTCACGTCTCCCTGCTCATGGCCTTGTCTTCTCATATCCTAGCCGAAGAAGCAAAGGCTGAGTCTGCAGTCCGCAAGTTGTTGGGGTCAAGCCTGGAGCAAAGCGTTAAAAAAAAGGATGCGTAAGAACACAGGAGGTCACACGAGGCCTGAATTTGATTGTATCTTCTGGACTGAGGCGTGGCATGCCCAAGTAGGAGTAGGCAAGGCACCAAGAAGTAGAGACTGTCCGCTTGGTGGTCAACGTTCTTTGATGCTTTCAGCTTCTCAGGGTGGGGCCAGGAGTCCGGTGTACAGGACGCTGCATGCTGGGTTGTGCCACGTCCGTGCATTGCATTCGGCAGCATTTCCTCTGCAGGACCTTGGTAACGCAGCTGCCGCGGATGTGATGCAGAAGGCCTTCCCAGATGCTGGAGACACGGCTCTCATTGTCATGTCAGCTGAAGCCATGGACAGACATGACGGACGTGACACCCGCCACAAGAAAGCGTTGAGAATCCGAAAGTCCAGATAAATGAATGTTCAGATATGGCATGCCGCGCTATGTTGCTACGACATTTTGAGATCATCGTAATCATGGTTCTCCGAGCCGCTTCTTGCTACAGGCCTGCGACCTTCGATCAGAGGCTTTGAGAGGGCATCGGAAGGATAGTGCTCGGTCCTTAGCACTGCTCCGTGTGCTTTTCTCCCTCGAAAGACGTTTTCCACAGGCCCGGATGTTTTGGTATCGTGTCAGCTTTGCCATGGGCCGTGACGATGACTGGTGCTAATGTGCATCGCCAGAATTCGCCAAGGATAGTACGAAACTGACACAGGCTTGCAGGACGTAAGCTCGTGTTCACCTTCTCCCGTTTTCTAGCGCCTGCCTTCTAATGCTTTTTAGACGGTCTATTCAGGCAATTCATGAAAGTTCTGTTTCAGTTGGAGTGGCATCTCTATTGGAAATTCTTCTTTGGATGCAATTCTATATCCACGTCTATTCGTGTTGATACATGTAGGAAAACTGTGACTTGAGATAAGCGAGGTCCAGCTATTGCGCGCAGCGTGGCAAACGGCGACATCAGGCACACTCCACAGCTGAGGTTTTTCCGGCCGCTCAAGTGACCGTCCTCGGCAGGTCCTGAATTCCGCTTGGGTGAAGGCCAGTGTATGGGAAGACGGTAGCAGCAGAGTGAACTAGCATCACCAAACCCTCACCACTGACCAAGTTCCACTGGCTTCTTGCAGGCCACATTCTACGATGGGTTATGGCACGTGCGAAGCTCAAAGTTGATGGGGGAGCTGCGGTGATGCTACAGATCGTCATTGTCGAAGCAAGAATTGCACGAGGGCCCCATTATTGGAATGAACGAGGCGAGCTGATGGATGCTTTCGTAGAATCCGAGCAATGGGAAGAAGCCCTGGCCAGAACCTCAAAGAGCATTCACTTGCTGGGAATTTGACTGCTATGGTGTTTGTAAAAGTTGCTTTGCAGCAGGTGTTTGCGAGAGAAGTTTGCTCCATCAGCCGCCACGTGTTGTGCTTGGCTTTTTCTTTTAAGCACAATTGCACCCTGGCTGCAAGCTCAACATCTAAGATCTTCCGGTTGAATTGGCCAGTGGTTTCGCTAGGCCGCTGCCTCTGCATCCGAGCACACGGCATCCTCCTTCTTGACAGGCCTTGCAAGACTCGCGAAGCTGGAGTTTTTCCTTGGAAACTTTGCCGCTGGGACCGCACATCCTTTGAATGATCGGCCGGGATTTGGAGGAAAGTTAAGACTTGGGCTGTCAGACTTGCAGATTTGAGGCTGCTGCCTCGCATTCCTGCGAAGATGCTCTTTATGCTGGAGGCCAGCTTATGAAATAAGCCGAGCTTCAACATTACACCCCGCATTAGAGGTTTGGAGCTGTGAATTCCTAGTGCTTGACGATGTACTCTGTTGCAGCATTTCGGGCGAGAAGTGGCACTGTGAGGAGAAACGGACGTGCATCAGCACAACAGGAAGCGCCCACCTCCCATGTACCCCTTGTTGTTGTATGTTGTTGTTGTTATTATGTCCAGCAAGTCTTGCATCATGGGTTTGGATGGGAAACAGACAGGAGGTCGTCAGAGAGCATTCGGGAAGCTCAGTTATTCTGACAACACGTGTCCTCGGTTGAAACACTTGAAATAATCAGACTGTAATCGCCAGGCCCCTGGGCCTTGAATTTGCCATTATCGAATTTTTATGGGTTAGGGCAATGCTTCCTGCTCCAAGGACCGAAAGGCCTGGCCCAGATTGCATGCTTGTCAGACTCATAAAGTAAGGGTTCAAGGTTTTCTTGTACAGGGGCGAACACTATATTGGGCACTCTGAGTTGTGTGGAGTGAGACACGGCGCTTGATGCGTTTCATGATGAAATGTTCGGTTACTTTTGTGTGCACAGTCAACCGTAGCTTTGCCAAGAGCCAAGGGCCATTTTGTTAGGTCAGGTAGGCGCACAATGCCCACAAGCAAGACCGCACGCTGTTAGGGTACTGCCTCGTGAAGTGGCCCGAAAGTCTGATCTCATACTGTCCAAGGTCTGGAGCCTTCGCCATCTGTTTTGTGTTGGGATGACCGTGGATGCCTCAGCTGTATGCAGAGCTGTTGGGTTTTGGATGAATTCCAAGCCGCAGGCCCTGCACTGGCTTCTGAGCTGCGGCAAGTCTTGGCTCAGGCCAGAACCGAAACCTGAAACTTGTTTTTATTGTACCATGATACCAAGTTGGAAGGCCACCGCCGAAACAGGGGCGATGAGAAGAGGCCCGACCTCGCAACTGGCCTTGTTGTCAAGAAGCAACGACGCAAGCAATGTCTATCTGCGCGCACGAACGTGGAACCTGCTGCAGCACGCTGGCTCTGTTTTCTAAGAGAGTTGCTGAGCACTAGTCATCAGCCCCTCCTTCACTTATGATCTGCAGGGAAAGGACCTCGTCGTGTGAAAGACGTCCGCCTGCACAGCGCCAGCTTTGATCGAGCTTGCAGGAGAGCGTGCCATGGATGTTGCAGAGCTTTGTGACTTCCTCGCCTTGCCGCCTTGCTGTGTATTGGATTTCACTTAGTAGTTAAGTGGCAGCAGAGCAGCCAAGGCGAGGATTGCCATGTTGGATAATCGACCAGCTACAAAATGGCTGTGACTATGTTTCATCAGAGGACGTTCTTCCTATCAGAAGCTTGCGAGTCAGTTCAGCGGGTTTTGCACTTGTCGGCGCTGGGCTTCATGAGAGGAGCCTGGCCGAGGGGCACCAGGACTCTTGCTGTTGTGCACATTGCACTTTTGCGCACGTACTTTTCAGAATTCACAGCCCAATAAGTAATCAGATGGGTCGGTGGCTTCAGCCAGGAGAAGAGCCCTTCACCAACGATCGATTAGCAAAGCTGGGCATTGCACACCCTCTTCATCGTCGACGAATTCTGCGGGAGCTACAGTGTCTACAGTACTTGAAGAATCCAGACAGCCTGGCACCATTGTCTGGCGAACGTTCGTGTCGGGCAAATTCTCGGTCTCAAGGCTCGCAGGGGCTGCGTGATTTGCAGGAGTTTTGTTTGAAGCGGCCACATCGTTCAATGCGGAAGGGTTCTTTCATACAAGACAAGCGGTGGCCATTCCTCTTGATTGAGTGCTTTGTTCCAGACTCGTCTAAACCGCGTTTTGGTGCGGCCGCAGCCACAGACCCTTGTGCTCCACCAATCCTGACAGCATCGTCACACGCGAAACGTCGGCAGCTCAAGGCGTCTACCTTGCTTGGAGCATCCGAAAGCACCGAAACACGGCCTGATGCAGTTCCCGAGACCTCGCATTCAACTCAAAGCTTCCTCGCTGGTGCAGCACCAGGAGCCCAGCCCTCAGAGCTCCCAGATGCAGATTCGGAGGACTTGGATGCAGAGGAGGCGGAAGAGGACAACGGCATGCGTTGGGAGGATTGGCTTCAGAGCCGCTTACACTCCTGGGGAATGCTGTCGCTGGTGGACGAAGTCCTTCATGTTGCTTGCATGGGGAATTTGTCAGCTTGCGCAGATATGATGGCAAAGGTGGCTGTGCACGGCAGAGAGTTCGAGCAGTCTTTGGCCAAGACGCCCTTGCCACCATACATACATAGTGCTCTGACAGTGCCACCAAATGTGGTCCCTCCAACAAACATTTGGGACTGGCTGCTTTGGCGAAGGGAGTTGTTGGAGGACGCGGAATATCGTGTAGCCACTCTCATCGGCAAGGCTTCGAACCTCGTGGAAGCTGTGGTGGGAGCTTCCGCCAGAGGTCCAAGTCGAACCGAATCTATCAAGCATCACCATTCCAGGTCAGAAGACAGGCGCAAGACATTAAATGTCAAGAAGCTCATGCAAGGGCACGGTATGCCCACCTTGCCAGCCCCAGAAGCCCCAGCCCGGAACAGCAGCATCAGCAGGAACAATAGCATTAGCAGCCAAGCACCAGGGAGAAGCAGCAGTGTCAACAGCCAGATCAACGACAACGTTTCTGAGAAAGCAGGAGGACAGTCAGGATTGCAAAGGTTCAAGAAGATTGCGAGCTTGGTTCTCTCACACGTGCGCGCAAAAAAGCAAGATGGCATGGTGTTGAACACCAAGCTTCTGACGTGCATTTCAATGCAAACTAAAGTAACACAGACACAGAACGAGCTGGTGGCTCTTATGAAGGAGGTTGATGAGTGGCCACCTCTAATCAGCCAGAGCCGAAGCAGCTGCGATGACATGCGAAGCCGGTTGCGTGAGGCCTCGCAAATCCTCTTTGAGCGGTTCGTGGATCTACGGCAGCATGTAGAAGTAGAACTGCGCGAGCTGACGCTCGGTGATCAAGGTGTGGTAGATTGCCCGCAGCTTGAGAGCAAGATCGTTGACGTGCAGCGTGAACTGTCAAGCACTCTACTGCTGGGCGACTTTGCGTTGCAGAGGGCAGAGCAGCTGGGCGTGAGTTTGCAAGCTCAGGGCATTGCACCTCCACCAAACCCGTGGGAGGGGTGCGTGCATCCAGTCGAACCTCCCTGGGAAGCAAGTTTTTTGCGAGCATTGCGAAAACTGGAGCCGCTCAAGCGGAACTTGAACGTGCGTCGTCAGGGGACAGCCTGTGTGGAAGTGGTTCATACAAAGTCCGAGAAAAGAAGGACTGACATAAGCAGAATTTGAATTCACATGTACCCCTTCACTCAGCCCGTTCATCATGTTGTGCGTGAAGTTGTCGTTTGCAGGACTTTGAAGATGCCACCACAGCTTCGGCCAGGTATGTCAGTTCCAGCAGAGTTAATGGCGCAATTGAGTAGCCGGTAGATGTCTCGGAAATTTCTTGCCATGCCTTGCCATGCATGCCAAAGTGCGGGCAAGGCCAGCTGTAGCATGCCTTGAGGTCAGGCCTCTGAACAGCAGGGGCTGTGAGACCAAAACGGTTGCACACCCCAAGGCTGCCACAGTTTGTTTTAAAATCACACCGCGAATTGCGTGTGGGTTCTATGTCTCTATGTCGCTTTCCTGGAAATGGTGGGCTCTCTTCCGCAGGCACTGGTGAAGATAGACACGAGAGGCTGATGCGAGCTGAGCTCGTAAGCCTCAAGTCCCCCTGAATGCAAACGCATGCAAATCCCGCCCAACAATATTCCCAGCAGGACAAAATGGTCTCGAGGCAATGCAAAGATTCCTTTGATAGGAGCTGCCAAGAAGCAGGATGACAGAATGAAATGCGTGCTCTATCAACAGGCGGAATTGTCCCGCATTAGGCAAGCGGGTAAAATTGTCTGATAGTCAACAAGTCAACAACCTCAACAACGCCGGCAGCCGCAGCAAGAACAACAAGAGCATTAAGCAAGCAACAAAGCATGAACTAGCTCGGCGCAGCACACCAAAAACGTGGTTCTCACAGAATGCTAGCGGAGACGGCAGAAATATAGTTTGAGCTCGCACGTCTTGAGCCATCGCATGATGAGGGCAGGCCATGCCTGCGGCAAATTTTCCCTTGTTCTTGGGGTCGGCCAAATGTGAGTCTCTGCATGGGGCTTCGTGCCTCGCGTCAATGCCCCTTGGCTGTATACAAACATAAATTCTCCTGGCATATTCAAAGGTTGTGTACATGTTGATGTTCTCGTAGCTCCTGCCATGGTTGTGCAGGTCATGGTATGCCGTTGCCAGAGAGACTGAACGCTGTGGAGCCCTTTGTGCGGGAGCTGTTCGAGGCAGACGCTCTGGAGCCCGCAAGCGTGTGCTCGCTCCTCGCTGCAACCAGGAGCTGCAATCTCGCTGCGAAGAGGAGCGGGCACAATATGCATCTCAGCGGCACTCTCTGATCGCTGCGATCCTCTGAGATGGCATTCACTTCTTCAATTGAGGCGCTCGCTGGGCAGACTCCTTCTGCGCACAAAGCAAACTTCTGGCTGGCACATACAGATCCTGAGCGCATCTCAGGCGACTCGCTGCACTCAAAGTATGCAATTTGGTTGAAATAGTAAAGTCATTTGAACAGGCTGTCTCGGAAAGCTGGGTAGTGCTGCAGAAGCAAGCTGTGCAGGTTCAGTGCTTTGTGATGAGCATTTTTAAAGAAAAAGAAAGTGTGCAATGGCGTGGAGGCTACATCTTCAAATCACGACTATTCCTCCAGGGTTTCGATGATTTCCGCTGCGGGGGGCACATTTCCAAGGACCGAGCAAGCGGCCAATGCCAAAAGAAGTGTCACATGCTTTGCTTGGGGAATGCTCTTTGCAGGAGCAGCTTCGTTTCGCAGTGCTTGTGCAGCACTTCGCGTCACAGGACACGCTGGATTTCCAGCGCAGTCGTGCACAAAGAATGCACGACGATAGCTTTGAAGGTGCCAGTGCATGCTTACGTGTGGCCTTGCTTGCACTCACTGCACTGACTGGACTGAGAGACCAGACTGAGGTGTCCTTACGCAGGGGGTGAATGCCCAGCTTATCACGGATGCTCACCGAGCTGAGTGGGCAGTGGACGGTGCCGCTTACGTTTTTTCAGACTCTGTGGGCGGCGAGAGCGACGAGGCGGAAGCATAAAGCCGTGCTTCTGCCTCGAGATGTGCCTCAGATTGGCTGGGTCCGCAAGACTTGGCAGCATAATGCCTGACTGATATTTTCAAAATTGCATCAGCTCTTGACTTGGGGTAACAGGGTGTGCCTTAGACAAATTTGGCCTGGGAGCAACTCTCTGGACTGCACTTGCATCCAGATCCCATGCTGGACAGGAGAGGAAGCAGGCCCTGATCGATTTCCGAATGGAACTTGTAACTTGGCTCATTCTGCGAGGGAGAATTGTTAGGCATGCAGTCTTGCAAAAGGTTGCGGCTCTGGAGCAGTTCCTGCTCGACTTCTGCAGACGGCGGCAACTTTCAGAGAACGGCACGCTGTGCCTACTGCAAGCCGTCACAACCCAGATGTCGCATCTCAGCTAAGCCAAACCTTGATTCAAGCTTTGATCAAAGCGGATGGATCTAAGCTGAGGCAGTGCGGGCTCGCCAACCTTGACCGCTGCTCCAGAGCAGGTTCAGCAAGTGCACCATTTGCTGAAGATCCAGCCATCCTCGGCGCAAGTGCTTCTGAAATTTCAGGCGAGTATATGGTGGGTGGTGCACGTCTCAAACAGCACGTGAATTACAACATCTCTTGCAACCTGGTGATTGGAAGGGGGAAATAGACGTCAACTTCCTGATCTAATGCAGGCTCAAGCAGGCTCAAGCGCCCGGTTGAAACCTGAGGCATGGATGCTGGTCCTTTGGGGGAGGCATTGAAGCTGACCTTGGGATGCCTCAAGGAGCAATGCAGAAGCAGGGATCAGCGTGAAAGGAAGACTTGGTCAGATCCTGGGTTGCGGCCATCCAAGTGAATAAGGCTCCGCCTTCCTCTAGAGAGAAAATATGGTCGCCTGGTGGAACCAATGCTAGTGTCCGTTGCATGCTGCAATAGGGAACTTGACATTGTTCACCAAGGAGAGACCCAGCAAAACGTGCAGTGTGCTGTTTAGAGTCTACAGGAGGGCTTCCAATTCATTCAGCGGACTGCACGTGCAGAAAGCGACATGGCAGATGACGCATCTACACAAGGCACGTAGCACGCAAACGTCATTGAAGCGTGGTGGGTACTGCGCAGTTAAAGCAGGTCGAGCCAAAACATTTGCAAGCATTCCTGTGTCCGTCTGCCACTACTAAAGATGCGGAGTATGTTCTGCCCAGACGGGCAGGTTGCGATCCGACGTCACGAATGTACCAATGCGCCACCCTTCGGTTCACAACCAAGCTGGGCCTAGCAACTTCCCGGCAGTTTCATTTTTGGGTAGAGAAGAGTCAAGCGTGAAATAGCCTTGAATTGCTCAGGAATCGCCTCATGGTGAGGACCAGATCCAGTGTGATGTCATAGATGTTTATGATGAGGTGTTCATCAAAGAAACATGACTGAGACTCTGGGAGTGCCAAAAGAAGCTTTGCTTCTGCATGCGATGAACAGCCTGTTGACGGAGCTGACCTATCAGAGCCGCACTGGGCAGGTGGCGCTGTGAAGCGTGAGCTTCCTCAGTCGGCCGCGAACCGAGGACTTGGAATGCTAGGACGCTCTGCCGGTAGGTCTGGCAGTATGACCGGCAATCCGCATGAAGACATATTGCGACCCCATTCCATGGTTCAGGCTCTGGGCAGCAGACCAACCGTAGATTTGGAAAGCTTGGATTAGGCCGGCTTAAAAAAGGGAACATTGGCACCAATTTTCGTGGGATCCATTCGGGGGAATGAGAGAGTCATCCGATTGAATACCAAACTTATGAATAGAAACAATGTTCGAATTCAAGACAATCATAGATGACAGATGATAACAGTGTTAACTTAACCTCCCAATGAATCTCCCCCAGATCTGTTTTTGTTTTTTGGTCTACGAAAGAGGGGGCGTGGCAATCATGAACGGGTGATGTTCGCGGAGTCCTCTTTGGATTTCCAGATAATAAAAGCTGGGGCTGGTGGCTTCAAGGCCCTTGGGGCTTCTAATGAGATTCCAAGCTTCCCAAAAAGGTTGTATTCAAAATCAGACCTGCTGCAGGAAGACTTATTCTTGCCACCCTTTATCACGAAAGCTAGCTTCTTGGAGCTTGCTAGAGTTTCTGTTTACCAATATGCTTTCAGGGCTATGGACTACTGTGGGACGATTTGGTCCGATATATCGGAGGTGTGAAGGTGCGCGCCGGAGGGGTCCCTAAAATGCCCTTCCCCACTTGGTCAGACCCCCCCCACCACCTAAAGATCTCAGATTGTGGTGGGGCCTCCCTCACCTAAAGACCTCTCCCTCCCCCCCACCAGTGGACCCCCTATGTATGGTTCGATTCTTCTTTGAATGAGCAGGTTTTCGGTCATGCTTTTGCAGGCTTGCATTGAAAGATTGGCCTTCCGATGTTCAAGCAGTCTCAGAGTAGCTTTGTGGGAGGCAAAGGGGACAGCATTGGTAAACCTACAGGCCGATTTCTTCTGGCAAGCACAGCAGTCAGCAGTGCCACGAGACCTGCACGCGGCTTTCTTGGAAAACTTGCTCGGAGGAAGCACCTGTCATTGTTGGCGTGCTTTCGTGTTGCCGACTGCTTGCTCGGAGGAAGCAGCTGTAGAATCGCAGAATTCGAGTTGAGGGGAGAGGGTCAGTGACTCTACAGCTCTTTCTTTCGGGCAAGCTGTCGACAACACGAAAGAAAGCCTGCTCGAGGTGTTGCTCCGGTTCTCAGGATCAACGTGTAGCTCTAGCAGGTCTAGTATGGCTTGCCCGCCAGAAGAAACCAGCATGTAGGTTTACCGGCTGTCCCCTATGCCTGCCAGAATGCTACGCTGGGCAATCTTTCAATGCAAGCCTGCAAAATCATGACCGAAAGGCATGAAAGACATATACAAATGACAAAGATATACATGCAAACCTGGCTCATTCAAAGAAGAACCATAGATGGGCAGATCCGCAATTGGGGCGTACGATCATAACAGATAATTCCAAGCAGATTTATTTCCCAAATATTTCCCAAATGATTGCATTTGCGCCGCGGCCGTATATGATACAAGGAGGGGAATTAGATATATCAACGGAGACTCCAATCGAGGAGGGAATAGAAGAATGAATATGGATTGCCTGATGATTGGGGAGGGCTAGGGCGAATGAAACCATGAAATCTAGGATATTATTAGATTTTCTTGGGGCACTACCGATATATTCGCAAATTTCGATCAAGATACGTAAAAGGCTCGCTTATTAAGGTCTAATTTTCGTCCGTGCTGCTCTCAAATAATCGTTGAGGGAGCGGCCTACTACAGGGAATCTTCGGAAGCTTCTTGAAATTAATTTTCGAATAAACGATCGATACGAGATCTTTTTTTCTATGATTAAGATATTTTTATAATTTCTATATAAATGAGAGATAGGAGATGGAGATAGATACGCTAAGATAAAATCTAGGAGTTGATATCTCAAGATTTAGATTTATATATCTATTTTTGAATTTTAATGACTTGGATAGGAGGGGAGGAATATATATATATATTTGATGATCCTCATGATCAATGATAGGCAAGCTTAAAATTTATATTTTACTATTGATAATTATAGGATTCTTCAAAATATTTAGAGAGAGATTCATATCTTGAATGATATATTAAAGAAAAAATGGAGATTTTCAAAAATATTTATTTCGATATAATGAAAAAGATAATTAATAATTCGATTCATTTTAAAATCAATTTTTCATTAAGAAATCTATCTAAAGGAAGATATAATTTTTTTCTATGAGATCATCATGAATGATAAAGAATATAATAATGAAATTTGAAAAGAAAATAAATAAATAAATAAATGATCTAAAATCTAGATGAAAGGTTTGGAGAATTTTTTAGATACGTAATTTAATAGATCTAAATGATATATTGCTAGGATAATATCATCTGATGAAGAAAATATGATATATATATTATATAATATCTTATTTATAAGAAAGAAAATAATTGAATTATCAATTAATTATGATGCGTGCAGCGCGTAATGATCGTTCCAAATGATAAATGAAGCTGGAAACACGAATCTAAGAGATTAAATTCCAAAAATAATAAAACAATTGATAAAGATGAGATGACCGTTCATATAATCGAAAGGTCCGTTTTAATGAGATCCCCATGAATCGTAAAACACGTAATTAGAGCGTATAATGCAAAATTCTAAAGAACGTACCGCATCGCATCTACGCCTCCGTATTCTTATTAGGAAGAAAAAAATATACGACCTACGTAGATCTATCATCATTTGAGACTTGGCTCTCTTTTTATATTCTGAGGAAAAAAATCGACATAAATCTGAATTCGACGTAGAAAATAATATTCTATATAATCTCCGATGTTAGATATTCTATTCGTAATTTTCTTATCATGAAGATAACGTAATTTCTTATGCCGGGTCGATTGTGTCCGTCACTTTAATATTAATATCATCAGCGATATTTGAATGATTTATATAGGCGAATCAAATCCAAAATTGATATCCTAATATTCTCGCGATTGATTCTATTTCAATGCCTCAATTAAAGTCAAAGAATATCTATCTGATAATCTATCAAAATGAGGGAACGTGCTCCATATCCGTATGGTCTGCCGTATATCTATCGGCACCAATCCCAGGAAAGTAAAGGACGATTTCCATCTTATCACGAAAAGTATTTCGTTCGTTAGCCTCTGGCTTGCACGAGATCAGCAGAGCGCCTCGTGCCCATCCGAGGCAGCATCCTATTTAGTCTAGCGCTTGGAGGACCCGGAGCGTACGCTTATATAATTTCACGTTCTATCATAGATCGAACGCGTAATATCTACGAGAAATAGGCGAGCATCATAAATAAAAAAACGTGGCATCTGCCAGGGGATTCCAAATCCCGTCTGACCACGTAATATCTTGGAAGTTACCTCGCCGTCTGGCACGGCGCTTTAGCCGAATAAGTGGAATACGCCGCCGCACGTCACGCACTCGCCCGTAAGTTTCCATAACCGCCGCCGTCGCCGCATCTATCACGGAAACGGCGTCTTCAAATGGCTCCTATATATTATTCGGATTGGTCTCTATAATATATATCTCAAATATATTCTCGGAATAAAAATGCTACAATATATAATACTAAATATTGAGTTGCAGACAATATGCCAGAGCACGCAATCGGGAATATCATCTATTGGGCAGCGTATATTTCCGCTGAAGGCATTATATCTATCTTCCAGATTCCGTAAATATTTCCAATCAACGATAATCTTGGTCCCATCTGCTTATCTGACCATATAATCTATATTGCCCGCCCCATCTTCCTTGCCGGAATATATTTTCCATTCCCTTCGGAATACGATCGTATTTCGTTGAAATTCCAAAAAAAATTGCAAATAGAATAATCTACGGAATTCTAATTTAAAGAGCCGCATTTCAATAGATATTCGAATTGAGTATTTATCTAATTATCTTCCCGACTTCTTCGGAGAGGGACTTCTTGGCATTTCTCTCGGATCTCGGTTTCGGATAAGGATAATTCGTTCGCAGTGTCATCGATATCGGAATTATCTAATGCGTTGGACGCGCGAAGCTGCGAATTTTCCGGGACCGCGCGAAATTCGTCCAGACGCTCCCATGCCAATGAAGCGATAAATTCCTCTTCATCAGATATGGTCTTCAAGCGTCTCAGCAGACTCTGCCAATTCTTGCCGTTTCGTATTTCGCATGAGGTTAATGATACGTTCTTCGCAACAAGGTTCTACGAATTGATAGATGAGATACGTATAATCGAATATATTATATATTTGCCCTTATAGAAATATATATGATTTTCCGAATGAAAATATAAGAATTCATCTCTTAGATATGGATTAATATCTATCAAAAGATCTCTCCCCAAATCGTCAGGTAGCTATGCCGGCAGCTCTTCGGATTTGCTAGGAAAGCTCGTAAGAATCTCCCGAATACGAAAAAATTCTTCAAATAGGATATAATGCAATCCCAATGTCTCCAGAGGGATTCATTGGTCCGTCGCTCCTACCCAGATTCGTATCGGAGATATCAACGACAATTTCAGAAATTGATATTTTTCATCGCTTAGTTGGTCTCCATGGCTCCTCCATAATCCATGATAGTTCCGTGAACGCCTTGCTGCGAACCAGACAGAATTGAACGGGAGGGCGCAAGATATACTCCCTCGCAATTACGCATGACAACGACCTCTTCAACGTCTGTCAATCTGAAAATCATTGGCAATGCCTCCATCGCAACCCCCCCAAAGAGTTATTATACGAATCGATGCATTTTACGCAGATACCCAAATTCCCTCTCAATTCTGCAATATATGATCAACAACATTCAAGACTTCTCCATTCCGGATCGTGCGCACGAAGACAAAAGCGCCACAAGATAAAGACTCTGCAGCTACAGACTCGGACCGCTTCCCTGCAAGAGAGCTGCCTAGCTGAACGTCCTTCTTCAATAGCATATTTTCGACGCCGCCCAATATCGCCCATTTTGACAGGAGGATTCCAGCATACCAATCTAAATCACATAAGGCTCATGAATCATCATCAATCCAGCGGGCGCACGTTGCTCTCGATCTTCAATCTGGTCATGATTGAAGCGAAGGAGCGATCACTATATTAGATCGTTTTTGATCTGCCTCTTCTGCTTCGTTCGACGTGATCATATTC